TTAACCCAAATACCCATCCCCATTAGCTTCTTTATTTCTTATGGATCTACCCTAAAATCATCTATAATTCACACATTCATTCCTAAGGATTCTCCTAAGGAATAGGCACGAAGTCCATCGTTCCCTATGCCACAGCTGCCAATGTTATCTATTAGGCATAACTGCCAATATTATCATTTAGGCACAGCTGACAGAATTATGACGTTCTCTATTAGGCGCAGCTACGGATATTATCATTTAGGCGCAGCTGCCAGGATTATGATGTTCTTTATTAGGCGCAGCTGACGATATTATCATTTATGCGCAACTGGCAGGATAATGACGTTCTCTATTAGGCGCAGCTGCCGATATTATCATTTAGGCGCAGCTATCAGGATTATGATGTTCTCTATTAGGCACAGCTGCCGATATTATCATTTAGGTGCAGCTGTCAGGATTATGATGTTCTCTATTAGGCGCAGCTGCCGATATTATCATTTAGGCGCAACTTCCAGGATTATGATGTTCTTTATTAGGCGCAGCTGCCGATATTATCCTTTAGGCGTAGCTGCTAGGATGTTTAGGGTACATCGTAGTTAAAAAATATCTACAGGTTGTGGTGCAGCTGCCAATGTTTATCTATAGGGCACTAAGTTCATAGCTGCCAATGTTCTTCTATATCGTCTTTCATCCTTCATCATTCATCTACCCATCTTTACCCAATATTTGTATAGGTATGAAATACATATATAGTTTAAATCAAATAAAATATGTATATTCGGTTCATCCATTGTAGATATCAAGAACACAAATAATATGTACACATAGCACGTAATTTATATTAAATACTTCATATCTATGTGTAAGATGAAACAAATTATGCACTCACTTGTTAAAGTGAGGACTCCAAACTCGGGCAGCGCTTCGCTTCTAACAATTCTATTTTCCTTCGGCGAAACCTAGTATCATTACTGCTAGATTTTAGTCTAATATTTATAAGGACTATTTACGAGCAATATTGTTTTATAAGTGTTAAACAATATTTTTCAACCACTATGTACAGACAGGGGGCAATCATGAAACATCGGAGGGCATGACCATTTTGGCATTATAGCACTTCTGAAATCCAACAACCCTATGCGGTCGTTCAAAACAGATTCCCTGTTCCGCGAGTAGTTAAAATATATTATAATAACACTTTTTGTTCTATATTTTATAATATATTTATTGTTTATAAGTTCATAATAACGATATTGAACTTAAACATAAGCTATACTTAAAGTAGGGTAAGCATAACTCACTTACTGGGAGGTTTGGCTAGGAACCGGGCTCTGCGGGGTTAGAACTTCCGAGCCGAAAGCTCGTCTTCTCAGAGCCTTCTGGCGCTCCGGGACTTTCTCTAGCACTTGGGAGTTACTAGGGACTGGGACGGGTTTAGAGAAGTAATTGAAAGAGAGAGAAGGGTTAAGGTGTGAGGAAAATGAGTAAGCCTCGCATGGTATTTATAGTCTGAAAAATGGTTCAACTCGGCGAGTTCTGAGCCTCCAACTCGTCGAGTTGGGTGCCAGGTGTCACCATCTGGTGGCAAGGTGTGGGAGGAAGTAATGGCTCAGATCTCGCCATGCCACCCACTTCGCATCAGCCCATCCCGACTTCTAAATTCCGTAACTTTCACATACGAGCTCCATTTTTGACGTTCTCTATATCCACGCGTAGGTATTGACAAGATCTACAACTCTACTTTTGAGTCAATCTGCTAATTCTCGACCAATTTTAAATTTAACAGTATGAGAAGATTATATTGTTTAATGACCATTTAAAATTCATAACTTCTACATACGGACTCCATTTTCAACTGTCTTTTTATCGTTGAACTCATATTAATGAGATCTTTAATTCTCATTTAGGTTGTGTCAGCTAAAAATCGATCGATCAAAAATTCGATTTCCAGGCTGTGCACTGCTAGGTTAAATCTTAGAAAAATCATAACTTCCTCATATGAAGTCCGATTTGGACGTTCTTTTTATGTACGTTCTTGGTTTAACATCTACTACAACTTTCGTTTAGATTGCTATAGCTAAAAAGTAATTTATCAAACTTTCTTTGTTATAACTCGGATTTCAGCGTTCTTTATATGTACGGAAACCTTGTGACATATACTATAACTTAGTTAAGATTGTTTATTCTAAATAATCTTCCATAAAAAAGTCATTTTTGACACTTATTTTCTCTAAATTAACTAGCCCGAATCTGCGGGCGTTACAAATCATTCTAATATTTGTATAATACAATCCGAAGGATAATACGAGTAATTTTTCCAAAAGACTTTTCTTACCCGATATCATTTTAGTAATTTTGAGATACTCTTTAGTACCATCATTAGTTGTTTCAACATGATATCCGTTAGACGAAATATCCTTAAAACTTAATAAATTTCTTGGTGATTTAGATGAAAATAATGTATCACCAATTGTAATTATTGTCCCTTGTGGTAATACTATATTCTCTCTTCCGGAGCCTTAAATCATTTTTGCATTACCCATTATTCTATTAACATTTGCTTCTCTAATTGATAAGTAAGCAAAATACTATTCATTCTTAAAAATGCTATGTGTTGTTGCACTGTGTGCAAGACATATATCTTTCTCAATTCTTTTGCGAATAATCATATTTCTCTTCAATAAATAAATAAAACATAAGAAACATTTGACTTAGAGAAATAAAGTCATATTTTATTACTTTAAGAAGATTATGATGACATCATTAATCATGAAACAAATATGACATAAAAACCTAATAAAGTACATTAAACAAAACTACATATTATTCTTTTATCACTATACATAATGCCACTTATCCCTTTTTGGTAGGCAAGAAAATCGGAAACATCAAAATATGTCATTTCTGGTTGATCTTCATGAAAATCATTTTGAATAAAATTTGTTTCGAGATTTTACTTTTCTTTAGACTCTAGAGAAGCTTGATAAAGATCAACAAAATGATTTGGAGTGTGGCATGTATGAGACCAATGATAGGTCATTCCAACTTCTAGTGGTTACTTGCAATCTTGTTATTGTTGTTATGATAATTATTACGACCTTCACGACCTTGGTTAAACTCATGTCTAATATGATTATCTGATGTTGCATTCACTTCAGGAAATGGACTAGAACCGGTCGAGCGTGATTGGTGATTTTTTATCAACAGTTCATTGTTTTGTTTAGCCACAAGAAGACATGAGATTAATTCATGTATATATTATATATATATATATATATATATATATATATATATATATATATAATATATATATATATATTTTAAATCTTTCTCACAACATTGTTGTTATAGGAGCATGTTGGTGGCATGAAAAGTAGAAAAAGTTTTCTCTAGCATGGTTTTTCATAGTAAAAATACTAATCAAAATTAAGGCTTGTATGTTTAAGAATTGTTAGTTAAGAAATTCCATAAAATAAGTTGTAAGCATTGTATATGTGAACTTATAAAAAAAATACATATCTGAAAAAGACAAAAGCGATAAGGAGTTAGAGTTCTATGGTAGAGTCGTGCTGATAACGTGTTATAAAATATGAAACTAAATTAAAGAACAATGTAGGAAATGAGATTGTAAAGAAGTTTTTTTCATCTCTTGTGGTAAAAGAAACCAAACGTTGCAATACATAATACTCACTATTTATAGTAGACAAAGAACATGAAATGTGAGGTATGTTATGAATGCTCATTATGGTAGTGCATAACTACACTCATAAAACTTATAATAATGTATGTTATAATGCTCACTAATTATGTAGAGTTACTGGGGAATAAGGGGAATCTAATAGTTATTCACTAAATAATAATTCATAACAGTATCCATCTTTTTATCTTTTACTCTTTTTGAACGACAGCTTGTCTGGTTAGGTATTAATGTTAATACTCCAATTCCTTTTAGTACCAAGGATCGAACTCTGACATCTCCATTCTCACAAAACTAAGAGGCTATGTTTTACTTACTTGCTTAATTCATTATATATTGGTTTGGTGTCTCTCCGATCAAGATCATTGTATATCTGAATTTTTGAACTTAGTGTGAGATTAGAACTTTTTTCCCCATACAATCTACTCTAATAAATGAAGGGTTTTTTGGCACATGTCACGCACTCATTCCATTTGCCAAATGTCATTTTGTGGTTATTTTGAATTAATTTTTTTCCACATGTCATTTTATGGCTTTTTTTATTTTAATAAATTTCACATAATACTTTAATATAATAATTACAATAAATGTAATAATAAATAAATATCAATTTTATTAATAGACTTACCTTCTTATTTCAAAATTCACAAATTAAAGCTCATTAGTTTATTTTGTTTATTTATTTAAATTTATAAGATAAAAAAATCATGTTTTATAATTCATTATTTTTCTTATTTTTTTATAAATCTAACGTTCTTAAATATTTAGACATTTATATTTAATTTTTTTTAATTAAATCATATAATACATGTGTCTTACACCTAGTATTTTAAGAGAAGTTGAGATTATAAATCCTGTACCATAATTTTTAAAGTGTCTTTAATGTCTCAATTTTTATGGTATATACTAACTAAGTTCACCCTTTTTTTTGTGATTCGGTAAACTTATACATAATGTTTCTCCAAAAACGCACAAATTAATTATTAATGTCCTCTAAGAAATCGCTACGAAGCTTCTTTTGGACAATGGTGTTAGGTACACCAGATTTTATAAGATTTAATTTAGATTTTGTTTAGATTTGATAAAAATTTTATAGGATTTCAACATACTTGTAAAAGTTTAATTTAAATCATCTACATGAACACACAAGTTTAGATTAATTTAAAATGATGATTAAGGACTCCTTATGTTAGCTTATTTACTGAATTTAAAAGATAAAATCAATATATTATATCAGTTGTAATTATTCATAAACAAAACTGTGTGATACATGCCAACTTATACAATAGAAAAAATACAACGATTGTTATAAAAGAAAAGAAACCATTAAACATCCAAAACATACCCACTCACTCCCTAAAAATGGAGAAGATTTCACACAATTTCATACCAGTTAACGCGCTAAACCTCCATGTAGCTGAAATCTGCTCTAAGTCCTCACCCACAGTGGTTTTCCTTCACGGTTTCCCGGGGACATGGTACAGTTGGCGTCATCAGATGGTTGATGTATCAAATGCCGGTTTCATAGCCATTGCACCTGATCTCAGAGGATATGGTCTTTCGGATCCACCTCCACAACCCGAAAAGGCATCCTTCACTGACTTTCTCAAAAATATTGCCTCTATCCTTGATTCTCTTGCCATTTCTAAGGTATGTTACTTTATCACATTAACGTAGATTCAAAAGAACTAGATATTGATGTGTTATGTTTGTATGAATATGAACATTGTCAGGCGTTTATGATTGGTAAAGATTTTGGAGCAATGGTGGACTACACATTCGCTCTTATGTACCCAGAGAAAGTAGGAGGAATTGTAACGCTTGTCCTGCCATTTATGCCTCCAGGTGCTATCAATCATCATTTGCCTCTCTCGGAGGGCTTTTATGCTCGAAGATGGATGGTAGACTTTACATGTTATAGCTAAATTGTATTGAAATATAAATATACTTCGTACGTACCTAATGTTTATGAGATTATTATTGTAATTTTTATTAGGAACCAGGAAGAGCTGAAGCTGATTTTAGTCGTTTTGATGCTAAAACTGTGGTGAAAAACCTCTATATCATGTTTTCTAAAAATGAAATACTGATAGCCAATGAAGACCAGGAGATAATGGATTTGGTTAAACCGTTGACTCCTCTACCCTTTTGGTTCACGGAGGAGGATCTTGCCACTTATGGTGTTTTGTATAAGAAATCTGGTTTTCAAACAGCACTCCAAGTTCCCTATAGGTGATTTCATTTACTAACATAATATAATTGTTGAATATGAGATTCTTAAGTATATTCATTTTCATTTTAACCATTGTAGGTCAGCTGGTGATAATAATGGATCCCATGAAAATGATCCGCTAGTAGAAGCTCCTTCAATGTTGATCATTGGTGAGGAGGATTGTGTGATCAAATATCCTGGATTGGATGAATATATTAGGAGTGGGGAGGTGAAGAAATATGTACCCAACCTAGAAACTATACATGTGCCTCATGGATCTCATTTTGTTAATGAGCAATTCCCCGACAAGGTCAACCAACTTATCATCACTTTCCTTGATCAGAACAAGCATCGCTTGGTGGCTTAATTCATTTCCATGAAAAAGACCCGGTTAAATGCTTAAAATAACTCCGGGTTTGCAACTAGGTTATGCAGGGTGGGTTATATATGAAAAACCTAATAAAAATCGGTTCACCAATCGGGTCATAACAATTTAATATAGTCTGGTTCCTATAAATAAAACCGGGTACTTTCATGTTAAAGAGGACTGCCTTTATGTGGTCATACTGAAACAACATGGTTCTTTTATATGAGTAAGGTTATGGCCTGGTTTTTATTTAGGGTTCTGCAGCGGGTCTTTTTAGTGCTTTCAATTTTTTTAAAACTCTTTTATTACATTTATAATTTGAGTACCATCATGGTTTTGTACTATGCAACCGCCAACGAGGTACTCAGGTACTCTCACTAGTTTTAATTCTTTTAATGTTCATTTATTAACTTTGTAATCTATGTACCAACATACTTTGTTACATTGCTAATTTTTCATTTAACTAAACTAGATAAAGAAATTCTCATGTTAAATTCCAATGAATTTCGACATATTAACATCTATTAACAGTACTAGCCCTACTACAAAACATGTTATAGGACTCGCCAAATAGGACCCAATTTTTTGAAAAATTGGGATATATTATGAAAAAACTGGGATTTATAAAGGAAAAAACTATATGACCCGGTTTAACCGAAAGAACAGGGTATATATTATACTTAAGTAACGGGGGTTCCCAACTTAAGAACCGGGACTTTTAGCTAGAACGGAATGTGACCCAGCATCTAGAAAAACCGGGTTCTATTACTATTACTGGAAAAGATAGGTTCAAGTAGCTATATTACCCATTTTTAAACAACTCGGATGTTTGACTTCTTTTACAAAATATAAATGTAGCTTAGTTAATGAGTGAGCTTAAATATACAAATAGCACTTCATAGCCGCAATGTAGAAAATAGCAAATCCAAGACTAAATTATTAAATCCACACCAAAACAACTGAATATTCTTCCTAAGATAGTCTTGTAACTTGGCACATGTAACATTGAACATACACAAAGTACGCAACTTGTAACATCACACTTTGAAATTAACCATTGGCTTATAAGTTTTAGGTGTTTTTGTTTTTTAAAGCGAAAATTCATGAGGTCTACAGACCGCCTCTGCAACCCTCTGTAGCAGAAGATATGGACCAAATTGTTGCAGCCTGTAATAAGAAGTATGTTTGTCTTTTTAACATCTGCAGGCTGCTGTAATAAACTGAAATTTAAATAAATTGATTTCACAAACTGAAAATAGTTCCCAACACCGAAATTTTAATAATTCTAGTCTTAAAACATTAAAAAGAATATTAAAATGAACATGTAAAAAAACATAAATATATTTTTTTAAAAACAAAAACTAAAAAAATATGAAAGAAGCTATCAGTTTTTTCTAGAAAAAACTAATTCTAAAGAACATAACAAAATTATAAAAAAAAAATTTATGAAAATATTGCAAACAATGTCTGCAAAATTTATAAAAGAATCACACATGTTAAAAAAGATGCAATCGAAACTGAAAATATTATTAAAAGAAATGGTAAAAAAAATTAAAAAAAATCAAAGTTTTTTTAAAAAAAAATCATGTTATAAAAAACTATGGAAACTATTAAAAAAATTGTATCAAATCCGTAAATCAAAGATTAACAAAAAAAAATCAAAGTTTAAAACAAAAATCAAAGTTAACAAAAATCAAAGTTAAGAAAAATCAAGTTATACCAAATTTCTAAAAAAAATTACTTGGAAAAAATGAAAGCTGAATAGGTTTGAAAATGCAAGTCAAGTGTTGCATCAGACAGAAGACGCGCGCAGATGTTTTGTAGTCTGAAGTATTCCAAAAAACAAACTTTTACGAGAGGGCCAGTGTTGCGCGTATGCAGAGCGGCACAACAAAAAGTGGTCTGAAGAAGTTTTTGTAAAAAAACAAACTTCTTAATTTTAAGGCCAAAGACTTTATTACTGGAAAGAGGGCGGTAGGTAACTGACAAGTTTTTTTTAACAGCTAAGACTTTAATAATCAACAAACACCAGGGGCGGAGATGGAAACAAAGCATACAAATCAAACAAAACAACCGGCTACAACAGAAACAAAAGAATCTAAAGATCCAAAGAACAGAGAACAATATTAGATAGATAAACAACCACTACTTCATCCTATACACATGTTGAATATTTGGTCATTGGGTCGGTTTTAGGTTATTTTGGGTCGGGGCACAAACAAAAAAGTGTTAAAACTAGTAAACAAATGAATTATTGAAAGTACATTGCTAAATGCCTAATGTAAAATGTAACAGACTTATTTGTGTGTTTGTGTCTTTGTTAGAAATGGCATAACAAGAGGATTTGCATGTATACAATCAATAGTCTCTTAGTCAGACCCTTTTAGCAACAAGTTAGAGATTTAAGATTTATCATATTTAATGGTATAAAATAAAAAAATAAACATTTATACCTGCAACAATCTGCTACCACAACCATAGGCATCCCCGCCTAAACTTCCTTGCAATCTAACCTCTAAGTAATCCAGATATATTGTAAGTTTTGCTAAAACTGTAATCCGAACTCATGATCTCATATAGAACAAAACACATACAAATGCCTGAGAGGGGCACAAAAGGAGAATATAAAAACAAACATAAAAAATCAGACCTAAAGTAAGGGAAACATAAATCATGAGAGTTGAATGAGAAACTGAGATACGAAGTACAGAGGACAAATCTCTTAGATTGCAGAGGGTGTAATAGTTTTCTTTTCACTCGTCTCTTTTTATGTTTTCTATAATCTCGATCTCTCCTATGTGTATTTATCTCTCCCTATAACACCCCTTCCCGATTTCTTCCCCTTTATCGGTCTCTCACTTTTCTCTCTTTTTTCCTTCTCTTACGATCATTATTTCAATCCTTTCTATGTATTACCACTCGAATGGAATGGGTGTTTGTGTATAAAAGAAAACAAATTTTAGTTGATTCTAGTGAGAGGGAGTGGAAAAGGTATATACCAAATTAATCGGTGATAGATTAGAAGTTGGAATATAATCGAGTTTTTGGCGGAAAAAAAACTTTAACTCTATATATGAGAGTAATATCTACAAAAACAAATGTTTTTAAAAAACAATCGATTTTGATACTCCATTATTTTTTTACAATTTAAACATTAAGGTTTAATAACTTTTACAATGTTGATATTGAATTATCTAATTTGTTTCAATGTTAACCATTTAACAAGTTTTGTCGGTCCCAGTAACCCTATGACACGTCTGACTCCCTCTTTTAAACCCATTACCACATGAGCTTCCATGTAACCCTATGCCTTCATACCTTAACACCTTACTTCTTCAATTAACGCTATCTTCATCCCCATCACCTGTCTTCTAAACCCGCGTCTCTACCTACGAGGCTTCCCCATAGCATAGTTGGTTCTTCCACTGATGAGGCTTCCCCAATTAGGTCTTGATAATGGTAACCAACTTCAAAATCATGTGTCCTTTGGGTCACGTGTTCTTGATGGGTATTAACAACATCGATATTTTTGTTTAGAGTTCATGAAAACCTTGACTCGATGATTGGTTGAGCCGTTTGGTTTCCATAGTATTTCTAATATTCTCCAAATACCCTTTATAAAGTTTACCAAACCCTCCATTACATATGACATAATTCTCATTAAATTAATCAGTAGAAAAATTCACATCTTTGAGTGTATAATTATGGCAACGTTATGATGGAAGTAATGAGCATAACAACTTTGGATACTTCGATTCATTGGAATTGGTTCCCTTGATGATTTGTCCATGACTAGCCTTCGATAACATAAAAGCATAAGAACTAGAACAGATAACAAGACTAATCCTCACCCAGCACCTTCAAGTATTGCAATAAAGGCTTTGAAAGACTCACTAGGGCACAAACAAGTGATGCAAAGAAGTAAATTCGTGTTTAATTCATTAAAGGGATGGTTCAGATCTTGAGGTTGCATATCATTCACCTCCTTAAATACATCAACTCGATCGGCTAACCATTATAATATTTCAAGAAAGTTACCTTCATTATCTGATTCTTCCCTGTTGTTATGACCACGAAATGCTAATCATGGTCGGAGAAAGAACCTAACACAATCAATTGAAGCATTTAAACGAGTACAATATTCTTTTTCTTGTAAAGTAGTTTGTTTCTCATGTAAGGTCACAAAATTTCAAAATAGATTTCTCATTTAAAACGAGTTAACCAATTAAAACTTTTTACTTAAAACCATTAAGTAACATTCATTTGTTTGAATATAATAACATTAATAGAGTTGAATTACAAAACAATGGAAACAAAATCTTCAATGCGAGGGTACAGTCCTACCGAGCTCTTCTCACGAACAACCTGTAAAACATCTAATCCACAACTGTAAGCATAAAGCTTACTGGGTTCCCCAATATAGCACATATTCCATCTTACATACAATGTATACAAGCAAAAACCTCAGCGCTAGTGCTGATTTGCCAACTCTCCTATTCACAAGAATACAACATACTATAACATCCTATAATATTCAGAACCTAAAAGAACTTTTTTTATGCTTTAAAAATCATGATACTTCATTTGCAGATGTCGGGCTAGTCAACTAAAATATAATAAGCGTTAAAAATAATTTTTAATAGAAAATTATCTAGGATAAATAATCTTAACCAAAGTAATAGTTAGGGTCGACAATTATAACCTATTTGATGTAAGAAAGAAGAATTATATGAATATTATGTGTTTCATGATTATTATAATATAATAAAATTGGAAAAAATCAGCCGAATCGACCGTAAATCGTAAAAATAAGTGCGCCAAAACCACACACACACACACACACACACACACACATATATATATATATATATATATATATATATATATATATATATATTTAGAAAGTAAACGTCTTCCCGATCCCGAAAATATAAATTTCGTAGAAATCTGACTCCATATGAATTAGATATGATTTTTATAAGATATAAAAATAAGCTGCGCACAACGAATGTATGACGTAAAAAGCTACGAAGAGAAATGGTTGACTATTAGCTAATGCCACCAAAATGAAAATTGTCACACCCCCGAACCAAACGGCGGAAACGTCCGGGGGCTTGTGCGTGACTTCATCTTGAAATATCATTACAGTGAATATAAATGAAACATAACATCATCATTACCATTCATAATATAATACAACTGCCATTGTTTACATCAAGAACAATCTTTTAAATAACTTGACCAAAACATTCAATGTATGATGTTGGACAGTACACAAAACAAAATCCCCTATTCTTGTTGATTCTTCTACTTAACGAGTCCCTGTGAATACAAGTTATTTTGAAAAGGTCAACATATGTAATGTTGGTGAGTTCATAAGTATATTTGAGAAAATGATTTGTATAACTTTGTAATCACAAGAAAATCCTGTATTTTCTTAAAATAGTTTGGTATGTTTATGTCTGATCT